TATCCCGACGCTCCTTCAGTGTCACCTACAATGGTGCCTCCCCTCCCCCTCTCTGTTGGGGTCCCCCAAGGCTCTGTCCTTGGACCCCTTCTCTTCTCCATCTACACCTCCTCCCTGGGCAAACTCATACAATCTCACGGCTTCAACTATCACCTCTATGCTGACGACACCCAAATCTACCTCTCCACCCCTCACCTCACCCCCACTATCTCCGCCCGCATCACTCACCTCCTAAATGACATCTCAGACTGGATGTCGCTACACTTCCTCAAGCTCAACCTCTCCAAAACCGAGCTTCTCGTCTTTCCCCCTGCCAACACCCCCCCCCCCCCCATCCTATCCATCATCACCAACAACTCCACTATCACTTCCGCCCCGCAAGCCAAAGTCCTTGGCGTCATTCTTGACGCGAACCTCTCCCTCCAACCGCATGTCAAATCACTCACAAACACATGCAGGCTCCATCTTCGCAACATTGCCAAGATACGCTCCTCCCTCACCCCAGACACCACCAAAACTTCTAGTACACTCCCTCATCATCTCATGCCTTGACTACTGCAACTCCCTCCTCACTGGCCTACCCAAGTGCAGGCTCTCCCCGCTCCAGACCATCCTGAACTCAGCTGCCAGACTCATCCACCTCACCACCCGCTCCACCTCTGCCACCCCCCTCTGCCTCTCCCTCCACTGGCTCCCGATTGCCCAACGCATCAAATTTAAACTCCTAACCCTGACCTACAAAGCCGTTCACAACACTGCCCCTGACTACCTCACCAACCTTATCACCAAGTACCACCCTACCCGTACCCTTCGCTCCTCACAGGACCTCCTTCTATCCTGCTCCCTGGTCTCCTCCTCCCATGCACGACTGCAGGACTTCTCCAGGTCCTCCCCCATCCTCTGGAACTCACTGCCCCAATCCATCAGACTGTCGCCTTCCCTATTCACATTCAGGCGCTCCCTCAAAACCCATCTCTTCAGGGAAGCCTACCCCACCCTCACCTAACGGCCATCCTCCCTCATTCCTCCCACCACTTCATCCCCCTCAGCCACTTCCTACTGTACCTTTTACCCCCTCCCTCCTAGATTGTAAGCTTGTAAGAGTAGGGCCCTCTTACCCCTCGTACATTGTTTGTTGTTGTTGTACTGTGCCATGTATTGTCCCCCCTATTGTACAGCGCTGAGCAAACCCTTTGGCGCTATATAAACTCGTAGTAATAATAATAATAATAATAATAGAAACAAAGACACTTTTTTGTGGGGTTTTTTTTTTTTTTTTGCTATTTTTTTTGTTTATAGCACAAAAAATAAAACACCCAGTGGCAAGTAAATACCACCAAAAGAAAGCTCTATTTGTGTGAGAATAATGCTAAAAATTTCATATGGGCAGTGTTGCATGACCGCACAATTGTCATTCGAAGTGCAACAACTCTGCATTCCCCGCTGACAGCAGAATGTAAACAAAACCAAAGTAAGTCCCCCAAAATCCAGCCCAAACCTGGAACCTAGAGGATTAGCTTGCACAACCAAACCATACATTTGCATACTGTTATGGCCTATTCACATCTGTAGGTATTCGTTAAGTGTCCACTGGTCTGGTCTGCGCTGTTTTTTTACAATTTTGTTTTCTTAACTTCGTTGATATGTAACAAAAGGACATTTAATTTATACTCTACAGTGCATGTTGATGCCGTGTAGTGTGTTGCAGCATGCTGAATACAATAGCTGGCAGGGGAGATTCATCCACCCAGGCTGTTAAGTGTGTATGGGGAATCTACTGGGTTCTATTCTACAGAGGGCTGTAGGTACAGATTCACTTATAATTTTGTGCTGCAACACATTTCAATAGGCGGTCATAGTTCTGCTTTAATAATTAAAAAAGCTTTAAACGATCCCTCACTGATCTCTCTACTGTAGTTCCGTGCTGTGTAAAGTAGTTTTTCCTCAAAGATTATAACAAAGAAGTTGAAGTAAAACTATAGGCAAAACTTTTTTCATTTTGGATAGAGTAAAGAAGGATTATAACCACTATCAGATTATTATTTTATTTTTTTTTTTTGCCATCTGTGTCCAATTGGGGAGATATACAGTCACTTCTTGTCCCATAGCCAAAACCGGAAGTGAAAAAATCTCAACAGATTAAGGGAATTCCCTGGAGCCCTCCACGTCACCAGAAATATAGTCCCCATTGGAGAGTTACCTCACTATTACTTTTCTGGGGGCAACCCAAAATTTGGGGTTTCTATTACTTTCACTTTCGAAGATGATGGTAAATAGGACAGCTTGAAAATCTCCCCAACGTGGGCACAGATGGCAATAAAAGCTGAAAAGTGTTTTAATCCCTCTCCACTCTATTTAAAAAAAAAAAAAAAATGCTTTTAGTTATACTTTTCTGTTTTCAGTCTGTTTCTATTCCACCTAAATACACCTGTTTGTGTACAGTAGGAGCCAAATTTCTGCTCTCCATAGAAAATAAAAGGACAGAATATGATTTTACTGCCTCTGTTGTGAACTTTGAAGCTGACTGTACCCATAATGCCTATAGATCCAGAGATTAATGTTCTAAAGTGTTTTATTACCACTTGTTTAAAATTTACTTTATACCTTATAAGTAACTCATTCAGATAGCAGAGGAATGACAGAACAGACAGATATCAAACTTGGTGCTTTGGATAGGTGCAAGTACACACTATGGAAGTGTATGCTTTGTTCATTTTTCATTTCAGAGGTTTACATTCACTTTAATATATATGCCCAGTCAGAGAACGTGTAGATGGAGCTGAGGGTTACCCTGTGAAGTACACAGATTTTTAGGTTCAGTTATAATGTTCAGAACTTGCATTTATGTCGAAACTGGGGCAGTTTGTCAATTTAGAGACACATCTTTTAATTGTGTTAGTCAACAATGCCACTCATCGATGCAACCACCCAATAACATGCAGATTTAGAGCTGCACATGTCTAACCATAGAAGTGTTGCTGTGTTTGGTTTTTGCACAATTAACCCGTATAATGCCTCCTTTATTTGCTGATGCTATGCAGGTCTCCTCCTGACCTGTCAAAATATCTGCTTGCCGTAGGGCATGTCCGAGCAAGCAGATATTCTGACAGGAAGCTTCAATGAACTAGCACAACACTGCACAGTGCTGTGGTAGTTCATTGATAACTACAAGCCCACAGCCGCTAAGGCTGTCGGGACTTGCAGCTCATTCACGGAAGTCCGTGAATGAATGATGCGGCCGTGTGGGCAAAGCCTCGCACGGCTGCACGGTTTTCAAATTTGACAGTACTGAGAGAAGTCTCCCTGTACTATATGTCAGAGGGAAGGAGGGGGCTGCGGCAGGTGGCGGCTGTGGCTATGGGAACATGTTACATGTTCCACCCTAAAACTGGGTGGAACATGTAACTTGTTCCAACGGGTGAACTTATCCTTTAAGCTCCTAAAGTCGCTCCTGATATGTTTATCATTCAGGTCTTTCACCACTGTTTTTTGTTGCACATTTCTGGACTCGTTCTACCTTAACAATATATTTTTGTAAGTGAGGTCTTCAGAACTCCGATTCTAAATTAGGTCTAATTGAAGATCTATATATAGAAATCAGGACCACCTCTTTTCTACTGGTAACCCCTCTAGTGATGCATCCTAAAATAGTATTTGCTTTCCCCACTGCCTGGTCACACGGTTTGCTTATTTTGAAATAAGTACCCCCAAAATGTATTTCCTCTGTAGTGCTGGCCAACACTGTACCCCGAATGTTGTACTCTATCAAGGGGCTTAATTTTGCTTGGGTGCATTATTTTACATTTAGAAACCTTGAACTGCAGTTTCCACTGCTCTGACCAATCTTCTGGCAATGCAAAATCATGTTCCATGTTACAGACACCTCCAGAGATATCAACCCTATTGCACACTTTGTGTCGTCAGTAAAAATACATACTTCAGTTTAATTGTTTTGTAAGAGATAACTAAACAGGGCCTAGTACAGAGCTTTGTGGTACACCACTAGTGACTGGACTTTTTTTATGAATTAATCCCATTAACAACCATGCTTCAGTATCTATCCTTTAGCCAACTGCATAACCAATGAACCACCTAAGGGTTAAAGTGGAACTACACTGCATCTGAGCATCACAAACTAAAAAATGCTACTTAATTTTTACTATTCAGAGCTTGCCCTCCCACCCATCCATCCATTTTTTTTTTTTTTTTTCTTTTTTTGCTGAGAAATCATTGAAAAACACCCCCTAAAACTTCTTTCCATGGCCATCTTGAGTAAGGGCAGATGATTCATGTGGCATTTACTTCATGGAATCCACCTTCCCTTAGCTCAGGCGTGCGGTGTGCTTAGCTGAGAAAACCCCTCCAGAAGACTCCTGGGATGCATGACATTTGCCTAGGCAAAAAAAAAAAATGGGAAGTCACTGAAGAAATGTAAATGAAAAGGTTAAAAGTAGTAAATCTATCATTTTCTATTTACTAATGCTAGCAGCATAAGGATTAAAAATATTTAAGTTCCAGCTTGTACAACATTATTTTTATCAGATCATTATGAGGAACAGCATCAAATGCTTTGCTGAAATCAAGATATGCTATGGCCACAGCACTTCCCTGGTCCAAAACATTAGTGATGTAGTAAAAAAAATTCAGTCAGATTAGTCTGACATGATCTGCCCTCAGTAAAGCCATGCTGCTTTGGGTCCAGCAAGTTGTGTGTTTTTAAGTGATCACTTATCCTTCTTTTTAGGAGGGATTCAATTTTTGCTACAACAGATGGTAAACTCATTGGTCTGCAATTCCCATCTTCTGTCTTGCTACCGTTCTTGTAGATGGGTACAATATTAGCTGTTCAGTCATGAGGAGCTTCTCTGTTTAGAAGGGATTGAGTAAAAAGATCAGTTAATGGTCCAACTATATCTCCATTGATGTGTTTTTGTTTCCTTATATGTGAGTAATAAACTATTCTGAACAGTGGCATTAATATGTAAAATATTGTTTTACAGGAAGAAGACACGACTGCCTTCCAGGCTGACTTAGATTCCTGTGTTATGGTAAGGATGATCGCATGGGCTAGGCTTGCTTACAGTTTAATGGTACCTCTCTTGCAGCCTTACCATGTATTCTATTAATCATCTAAGTACATTATATCTAACCCAGTGGTTCTTAACCTTGTTGGAGGTACTGAACCCCACCAGTTTCATATGCGCATTCACCGAACCCTTCTTAATTGGAAAAATAAAATATGATTTTTTAAAATTCAAAACATAGGTATATATTTAGGTATATATTTATACATAGGTGCACAAAATGAACAAAACCGTTAAGAACAAAACCATTAAAACATGATTTTCACACAAAACATAATAATGAATATTTACTGTACGAATCATATGAGTCGGGTGTGGGTCTTCACCTCCGCCGAACCCGCAAGACTGACTCACCGAACCCCTGGGGTTCGATCGAACCCAGGTTAAGAACCACTGATCTAACCATTCAGCATGATGTTACTTTTGCATGTGATCTCCATAATAACGAGACCTGTTCATGATTCAGTTTAAAGAACTTTTATCACTGAATAAGTTACATACTTAAAGTGGAGTTGCATCTGAGTACCACAAACCAAAAATGCTATATAATTCATTTTTAATATTCAAAACAAGCTCCTCTATCCATCTATGTCTCCATGATTTATTTTGCCGAGAAATCATTTTGAAAAACACTTCCTGGCATTTCTAGCAATGGTCATCTTGAGCAAGGGCAGGTGGTTCATGTAGCAGTTACTTGAATCCATCTGTCCTTTGCTCAGGCAGTGCATGAGCTGAGAACCCTCCCTCCCCTCCTGAAGACTCCTGGGATGTATGACATCGTTTGCCTAGGCATGGAAACCAGGAAGTAATTGAAGGAATGCAAAATAGAGTAATATATACTTTCCTGTCTGTTACTAATGCTAGCAGCTTAAGGATTAGAAATGGTCCATGTTGATTAAAAGAATAAAGTGTTACTAAACCCAGGATCCTGCATTCACTATACCTGGTCTTCCACAATACACAGAACATTGAAATGCAATTATTTTAGTAAATATAAACAGCTAATCACGTTTTCTCATCATAAGTTAGAACAGTCTTGTGACTTTTATCAGTGCCCAGCAGAGCACTGGTTTAAAGCTTGTAGGAGGAGTTTTCATTCTCCCTTGATTGTCCTATGAGGCTGCAGGACCCCTGACCCTCTGTCTGGACAGTGCTGATTGGCCCTTTGCTGATCACATGCACTCTCCCAAAGGGGGGGAAAAAAAACTATGTAGCAGTACACACCAAACTAAACATGTGCAGCTTGCTCCAAGGCTCTGTTCTGTCAGCAGGTGGATTGGGGACTGTGGAAGAAGGGGATGATCAGAGAAGACAGGATCAAAGATCCTTTTTACACAATGTGGAGGATTAACTCCTTAGGTTCCACATTGAGTATAACCAGCATGCTTTACTGCCTATACAGACTGATTTTATTGCTGTGGGTTTAGTAACCCTTTAAAGTCCAACTGAAGGTGCTATGAGTGACTGCAGTGAAGGCAGTCTGCATACCCAGTAATAAGCTGCCCTTTCAGGTTTTGTTTTTTTTTTTTTTTTTTTCTCCGGCTGTACTTTTCTGCTCTGATCGCCTAGGCAAATGATGTAGTGTTTGCTCCCAATGACTCTTGGGATATCATTGTCAGAAATCACAGGAATCTTTAGGCAGGTTTTTTTTTTTCTCTACTTGGAGCTCTGTGCTTGAGTTGGTGGAGGAGGGCGGAGAGATGTGCCCAGAGGGCGGAGAGATGTGCCCAGAGGGCGGGAATCAATGCTTCAGTGAAGAAGAGGGGGAGGGCGGGAGGCGTGTCTAGGGGCTTAGGATCAATGCTTGAGAGTGTGGAGGAGGGCAGAGAGGCATGTCCAGAGGCTCCTGTACACGGATGGAAGAGCAAGCTGGAACTTTCTTCCAATGATTAGCATCCACAGGGCACAGTGAGGAGGATTCAACTGGCACATCTACTGGCAAGGTGTGTGTCTGTGCTTGTGTGCGCGCATGTGTGTCTGTCTGTCTCTCTCTTTGGTAATATGGATGAGACACACTCATACAGACAGACACAAAGAAACCGGTGCTGCCTTCATCTGCCCATACATAAAATGGCTGCCCACACAGCACAGATGAATGCTGTACTAATAAATCATTCCGTAACAAAATACAGCTTCTTGTTAAAAAAACTCCCTAAAAGTAGTTGTAAAGGCTCAAGGTTTTTTTACCCCTATGCATGAAGGTAAAAAAACCTGTGTGCAGCAGCTCCCGTAATACTTATCTGAGCTCCATCATGATCCAGCATGTGTGCAAGAGCTTCAGCTCTCCAGGGACTCTCCCTCAATGGATGAGACAACAGCAGGAGCAATTTGTTCTTGCTTCTGTCAATCACAGCCAGTGAGCCAATGAGGGGGGCGGGGCCAAGCCACAGTTACATGTGTGAATACACAGAGCAGTTGCTCAAGATCGAGCCTGCTTTGGTGCCCCCATAGAAATCTGCTGCTCTGAGAGCATTTGGCAGGAGGGGAGGGGTCAGGAGCACCTGCGGGGAGACCCGAGAAAAGGAGGATTGGGGCTGTTCTGTGTAAAACCACTGCACAGAGAAGGTAAGTATAAGATGTTTGTTATTTAAAAAAAAAAAAAAAAAATCAGCCTTTGATATCGCTTAAATCTCATCAATAATATCTCTGGCTGCTGCTGGTTTGGTTTTTTTTTTTTATTTTTATTTTTTCCTTTGGTTGAAGTTCCTCTTTAAGTGCTGCAGCAAAAGTTAAAATACCATGTGGTGACAGCATACTGAAGAGCCAGACCGCTGCTCTTGCACACAATGCAGTCAGGATCCCCAGTAGTCTGACATTCTCCCTGCACAGTGCCCCAATCATCTGCACTTCTCAGGGAGCAGGAACACTGTTGAACTGTGCAGAACTGTGGGGGATTTTGACTAATGTATATTATTGTTGACTGATGTGTGGGGCTATACTGAGCCTCTGAGAAACTGATGTGTATGGTTCTTCCAGGCTTCTGTGGTAGATCTGAAGTCCAAAGAGGAGAAGGATGCTGAGCTGGACCGAAAGATTGAAGCCCTGCGCAAGAAGAATGAAGCCTTGGTGAAGAGACATAAGGTAGATGATTAAGAGTTGCCGAACAAGTGTTGGGTGTGTACACATCCATTATTCATTACAATAATTCTTGCCATTGTGATTTTTATAGGCTTAGTTATTTAAAAGTGTTTTACGTATATGTGTGTCTGTATTTGTATGTATAATGTATACACACTATATTGTAAAAAGTATTGGGACACTCCTCCAAATCATTGGATTCAGATATTCCAATCACCTTCATGGCCACAGATGTATAAAATCAAGCACCTAGGCATGCAGACTGCTTCTACAAACATTTGTGAAAGAATGGGTCGCTCTCAGGAGCTCAGTGAATTCAAGTGTGGTACCGTGATAGGTTGCCACCTGTGTAATAAGTTCATTGTGAAATTTCCTTGCTGCTAAATATTCCACTGTCAGCTGTTAGTGGTATTATAACAAGGTGGAAGCAACTGGGAACAACAGCAACTCCCATGTAAAATTACATTGGTCAAATGCGGGGTCAGTGCATGCTGAAGCACACAGTGCGCAGAAGTCGCCAACTGTCTGCAGAGTCAAACTTTGTGCGACCTTCAGTTTAGCACAACAGTGCATAGACTGCTTCAAGGAATGGGTTTCCATGGCCGAGCAACTGCATCCAAGCCTTACATCACCAAGTGCAATGCAAAGCATCGGATGCAGTGGTGTAGTTTTTCCAGGTATTTACCAAAACATATTCAAGCTATAGTTATATAATGGATATGGACTGAAAGTGAACACTCTCAGGTTTAATTTGAGGGTATGTGTATATTCAAATTGGAGGAAGAGTTAGGAATTACAGCTCTTAAGAGTAGCCACCCCCCCTTTTTCAAGGGACCAAAAGTAATTGGACAATTGACTATAATCATAAATAAAGTGTTCATTTTTAATATTTTGTTGAGAATCCTTTACTGGCAATGACTGCCTGAAGTCTGGAACCCATGGACATTACCAAAGACTGGGTTTCCTCCTTTATGATGCTTTGCCAGGCTCTAACTGCAGTTGTTCTCTGTGGGTCTTTCTGCCTTTTAGTTTTGCCTTCAAGTGAAATGCATGCTCAATTGGGTTGAGATCAGGTGATTGAATCGGCCATTGCAGAATATTCCACTTCTTTTCCTTCAAAAGCTCCTGGGTTGCTTTTGCGGTGTGTTTTGAATCATTGACCATTGACCCAGTGCCACTGGAAGCCATGCATGCCCATGCCATCACACTGCCTCCACCATGTTTTACAGATTGTGTGCTTTGGATGATGAGCTGTTCAAAGCCTTCTCCACACTTTTTTCTTCCTGTTATTCTGGTATAGATTATTATTAGTTTCATCCGTACAAAGAATGCTTTTCCAGAACTGGTCTGGCTTTTCTAGATGTTTTTGGCAAAGTCTAATCTGGCTATTCTATTCTTCAGGCTTATGAAGTATGCAAAATATGCACAATATATTATAAGTATAGCAAACTATGGCAGCAACCTCCCCAGGCGACCCAAATTCTTGAAATTAACCTGGAAGTTTAATTTTACTTTAAACCATATTTTTCACTCCGTAAGATGCACGTGACCAAGATGCACCTAGATTTTAGAGGACGAAAACAAGAAAAAAATATTCTGAACCAATGGACTGCGGACATAGTACAGGGGATGACCAGAGACTGCAAACCTGGGGGGGGGTACCCACTCCCACTTTCGCGGAGTTATCCTCCTCCTCCCTCCTCGTAGTCTTCTGGGACACGCTACAGGTCCCAGAAGAATACAGGTGATCATTCACAAAGCGCAGTGCTTCTCGCGCATGCTCAATGGGCACCCAGCTGTGAAGCCGTGAATTGTCAGCCAGGTGCTCACAATGAAGATGCCGGGAAGAGAAGACAGCCGGTGAAAGCGGAACACTGCTGGACTGAGAAACGGGTAGGACCGAGGAGCAGGTTCTTTTGCACAGTAGAGCCGAGTGGCTGGCACGGTGTTTTAACATGGCGGTGGGAATACCGGGTCGGCCGCTCCATATTCGCTCCTTAAGACACAAACTTTTTCCCTTTTTTTTTTTTTTTTTTTTTTGGGGGGGGGGGGGGGGGGGGGGGAAAGAGTGTGCCTTATGGAGCGAAAAATACGATACATCTGAGTTGCGTACTGCTATTTAGGATTTGAATAAGAGAAGCTGAGAAACATCCGATTTAAAAGTGCTGTAAGGTCTCATTCACGCCATAACATGCGGAAAAACTGCAAATGAAACCTACGTGCCAGTTTCCATCAGTGACATCCATTTTCATGCGAGCCCCAGTGAGTTTTATATATACGTTGCAGATTCTTGTGCAGAAAAAATCCGCACATGATACCAGTGTTGCGTTGTGAACAGAACACATAGCGAAACATATTTATTCATTTTCTTTTTTGTGTCCTTGCAGAACATGTCCAGAAAAACTGGCATTTCTGCACCATGGTGCTATTTGCGGCCTTGGCTGTCAATCACCGGTGCATGGCTGGTGATTACTCGCCGGCACACGGTGATCGTCGAGCATTAACGTTGGAAGGAGAGAACTCTATGTAAACAATACAGTTCTCTCCCCTGTCAGCTCCTGCACACTGCTTTGTATGGCTGTGCATAGCAGTAAACCGCACACAGTTAACCCTTTGATTGCCCCACATGTTAACCCCTTCCTTCCCAGTGCCATTAGTACAGTGTCAGTGTTTTTTATTAGCACTGATCACTGTATTGGTGTCACTGGGGATGTCAGTGACACCAAGTCACTTCTCCCTAGTGTCAGAATGCCCGCTGCAGTCCCGCTATAAGTCACTGACCACCGCCATTACTAGTAAAAAAAAAAAAAAAAAAAAAAAAAAATCCCAGTGTATATACCGCCATTTGTGAACGCTATAACGTTCACATAAATCAATTAATTTACACGTATTGGGATTTTTTTTTTTTTTTTTAGAAAACACATGTAGCAGAATACATTTTAGCCTAAATTTATGCCGAGATATGAATTTAAATCTCTTTACTGGACATGTTTTGATAGCAAAAATTAAAAAATATTATTTTTAATAGTGCAAAAAATTAACGCAAAGGCGCTCAAATAGCACCGAAGGAAAGCTCTATTCGTGAGGGGAACCCCCCCCCCCCCCCCCCCCCCCATAAATTTCATTTCGGTGCAGAGTTTCATGACTATGCAATTTTCAGTTAAAGTAACGCAAAAAATGACCTGGTCAGGAGGGGGGTAAAACCCTCTGGAGGGCAAGTGGTTAACACCCTTTTGTAATCAACTGTCTGCTGGACAACTGTTTAATGAATAATTAGACTTGCCTGTAGTTGAATTCTTGTTAATTATGATTTTGTTTAAAATTTTGCTTTGCTCCTGAGGTGTGACGGAGAGCAAAAATATATTTTATTTTTGTGCTATGTTCAACTCAACAGTGTGTCAAGCAGTCTGCTTGTCTGCTTAATTAAATCTAGGAGTTCCTCCTATGCTCCGCAGGGGGTGGGAGATGAGGTTGATCTCAGCGGGAGGCACAGACAGCAAGGTATCTTGTGGCTTTGAAAAGCCAGACGTGTCTTCACTGGGTGTTTGAGGTTTGGTTGAATTGCAGGAACAATATTTTTTTTTTTTTTTTGTTCTCCCCTATCTGGCTGAAAGGTTCAGACCTTTTCTGAGTTTACTTCTGTGATGAACACACAGGAGTTGAGGGCTGCAAGTTGGAAGATAAGCAGAACTGCTGAGAAAGATAGTCTTGTATGGGTTTTGAACTGCTGGGACTTGTAGTTTCATATTGTTTATGTGGCTTCCTGGACACTGGGACTCTGCTCTTCTTTCTGCTTCTGCAACTGTTGGCTGTGTGGTCTTGAAGCTGCGGCCAGGACAACACAGCCCTCCGAGCACCTGTGATGAGTAGGTGAAGTCCCTGAATTGCTGCCCTGTGCCTTGGACTTTACTGTACCAGTCTGTGGCCTGCGACTTGCTGTGTCTGGATGGATTTTTGCTTTTGACTCTGGACTTAACCCTGCTGTGCTTGGACCTTTTTGCCCTGCGTGCTGGACTTAACTCTTTGTCTGCTGGAGTCCTGCAATCCCTGTAGTGTGTTCAGCCCTGTGTTCCATATTTACCCCTTTGCCTACTAGAACTCTGCTTTCCTTGCCTTTCAATAAAAGCCTTGTGTGTATTCCTGCTCTCCTTGGATGTTCTTTTCCACCCACACCTCCATCACCGCCAGCTACAAAGCGGTTACCTATTTCTGGGAGGGCGTCATGACGTCCTCCCTGAACATGCGCACCCAGCTCTGTCAGTGATAGCGGTGTCCTATGGACACAGCTGATCACATGACTAGGTAAGAGGCCAATCGCAGCTGACTTTTACCACGTGATCAGCTGTCTCCAATGACACAGCTGATCACAAAGTAAATACAGTTGCCGGTTTTCGGCAGCACTTTCCTCATGCTGTCTCATTCAAAGTGCAAAGCACTGAAAGCTGAAAATTGGCCTGGGCAGGAAGGGGATAAAAGTGCTCGGTAGGCAAGTGGTTAAACTTGTGCTGTTTTGGAGATACTCACATTGGCTAGAGACAAAAACGTCATTGGCTCATGCGCAGTACGCTCTGCATTCGTGGCACACAATAGTGACTCCTGTGCGCATGCGTGGGAGGGACGTTATTGCGGGCTGGCCGTTTTAAATGGCCAGAGTGCATGGACCCAGAATGAAGATTGAGCGAAGATGAAAGTGTCGAACAGTGATACCTCAGTACTGGAGGTCTGCATTTGAAAAGCAAGTAAATATTTACATATTATGGTACAAACCTGCGGGGGACCCATTTAAAAAACGAACGCAAACTTTTTCTACAGTGTACTAACACTTTAATGGCACTACCGCTAGCTGTTTACGACTGCTTTTTTACATTTGCTTACTGGAGACACAACAGACCTGTCAGGGTATAAGATATGTTATTGCCAAGTCTTAATACAATGTCCATATAACCTTTACAGACTGTAAATTTATACAGCTTTACTTTCATTGCTGCACTTAGCACCAAAGC